GGAGCCTGACACTGGACTTTAGGTACTCTGCATGCTGATGAATTGACCTGGAGCGAATATGACCCTGAGACTTATAGCCCTCAACTGCTCTCTGGCTCCTAAAATCTCTTCCAAAGAGATTTCCTTTCTTAGAGGTCTTGAAATTATCTAACAGATGATCCATGGAACATTAAAAAGACGATTATTTTTTTTAAGATTTTATTTATTTTAGAGAAAGCAAGAGAGAGAGAACATGAACAGGGTGGGGTGGGGGAGCAGAGGAAGAGGGAGAAGCAGGCTCCCCTCTGAGCTGGGATGCAGGTTTCGATCCCAGGACTCTAGGATCATGACCCACGCCAAAGGCAGATGCTTAACCGACTGAGCCATCCAGGGATGCCTACATTAAAAAGATTATGATTTTTGATCTACTAATAGAGGTTTCATATCTTGGAAATAAAGTCTGTTTATAGAAAAGAGACTAGGGGCACCTGGGTGGCTGAGTGATTGAGCATCTGCCTTTGGTTCAGATCATGTTCCCGGGGCCCTGGGATCAAGTCCCACATTGGACTCCCTGCAGGGACCCTGCTTCTCCCTCTACCTATGTCTCTGTCTCTCTCTCTCTCTGTCTCTCATGAATAAACAAATCTTAAAAAAAAAAAAAGGAAAGAGACTAAATTTTCTTAATTTTTTTTTAGTTCTTACCATGTGCCAGACCATAGGGATATTCCTTTGCTTTGTTTCATGATCTTAACAAGCCTACAAGGAAGAATTAATTTTGCTGTCTTATATATATAAAAAAACTGAGGACCAGCCAGTTGCTTATAGTCACATAGCTAGTGACTATAAGTCAGTACTGGCACCTGGGTTGATTTGACCCCAAGCTCATTCTCTCTCCACCATACTGGCAATTGCCAAACTTTTTGGCATCTTGATTTCAAGCCAAAATCAAGAGTTAGACGCTTAACCAACTGAGATACCCAGGCACCCCAAAATAGAAAATATTTATGAAAAATAACTATGTATTATCACCAAACAATAAACTTAAAAGGGATATTTCAAATCTGTTTAATGTCTGACTTAACAGAAAATAGTTGGATTATCATGTTTGCTTCTGCATTTGGTTTGTGATTTGTTGTTTTGGTTGAGATATAGGAAGAAAATCAGGAATCACAGTCTTTATACAGATTTTTCAGATAGTTGTGGGTATTAGTCTTTAATACCCCAACAAACCTATTGAACAAGTGGTAATTTTTTTTTTGAGATTTTTTTTTATTTATTTGACAGGGAAAGAGGGAGGGAGAGCACACAAGCAGGGGGAGCGGCAGAGGGAGAGAGAGAGAAGTAGGCTCCCCTCTGAGCAGGGAGCCTGACACTGGGCTCCATTCCAGGGTCCTGGGATCATGACCTGAGCTGAAGGCAGCTGCTTAACCACCACCCAAGGTGCCCCCCAGTAGTAGTTTCTTAAAAGTCGTTTGCAATGTAGCATATGAAACCATATAAAAAAAAAAACATATCAATGAAAATTTGCATTAAAATCCATAGGTTTATCTTACAATTTGAATCTTTCCCCATACCTGATTGTAACAAATCATCATTCAATCAGAATATTGGTCCCACGAGGTATGCAGACCTCGATGTTGACCCATTTCAGTATATGGCGAAAAATCACATTCATTAATGCCACATCACCAGTCTCATCAAAAAAGTCTTTAAGTAGCAGATACAAGTTTCCCAAGATTCTAATTTTGACTTGAAAGTTCATGTTTTACCATTGGCAACAAATACCAGCAGTTGTTTTCCCTGAGGACACAGGCTTACTTCATTTTAGAGAGACTGTGAAATAGTCGAGTCTGAAGAACCATTTCTCTTGGTCCTTTTTCTGAAATGCCACTTCATGCAGAGTTGCTAGTTCAGCTTGCAACTCCATTGTACAAGTGCTTTCCCTCAAGACAACCATCCCCATGCACAATATGAAAAAGTTGTTGAGATTTAGAGCAATGCCTGGTCTGTCCACTCCGTGGGGAGTATGTGGTATCTTGGACTCTTCTCTCCTTTCTCGGACATTTCACTTTTTAGAAAATCCTTCTCCAAGACCCCGTCCTTCTTTAACAACATGGCAATTGATTACCTGAGAAATGAGTCACTGCCCAGGCGAGGATGACCCTTACACTGTTCAGTGTGGCAGGTAGGCATGTTCACATTTTATTTTTTTAAAAGACTTTATTAATGAGAAACACAGAGAGAGAGGCAGAGACACAGACAGAGGGAGAAGCAGGCTCCATGCAGGCAGCCCGATATGGGGCTCGATCCCAGGACCCCGGGATCAACCCCAGAGCCAAAGGCAGATGCTCAACCGCTGAGCCACCCAGGGGTCCCGCATGCTCACATTTTAACAGGAGAGGTCTGGAGTTCTGTAGAACGCTTTAACGTGAGGAAATAGCTCTGTGATGAGGAGCATTTCAGCTTAGGGTCATAGGTAAATGGGGTGATTTCTGGAGCCCCTGAAGTTACATCAAGGCTCTTTCCACTCAGCTGAGACAAAGTCAGAGGAATCGAATGATTAAACAATCAGAGGAAGGGGACAAAACCCACATAGCAGTGGTTTATCTCTTTGAGAGATGAAGGCTATGGTTTTTTTAATTTCAGTTTCTAATGGATAAAAAATATGCAATGTTTACATTGTCAGAGGACAAATAGAGCCACGATATACATCTCAGTTTACACAGCTCATTTCACAGATAATTCTATTTCTAATGTTTCCATGTTGCTTCCCCTTGATGTTAGGACATTACTAAGTAGGTAATGTTTTGGTATTTTAGGGGGCAAGTCTCACCAAGACCTCCCCACTGTACTGTTCTGTTTAAGGAGGATTTCATGAGTTTTCTAGGCAGAGAATGAAGAAGGGGTGTGCCAGGGAACATCTCTGGATAATTCAGCAGCTGTGTCAGGTTTGCCTGGCTTCTTCCTCTTGTCTGGAAAAAAATGGGGTGTCCAGGAAGTAAGTTGGGAGGACGGGTAGTACTGCCGAGCAGATCTGTGTACCTGAAATACTCACCAGCTGAGCAATCAGTTTTTTTTTTAAAGATTTTATTTATTTATTTATGAGAGACACAGGGAGAGAGGGAAAGAGAGAGAGAGAGAGAGAGAGAGAGAGAGAGAGAGAGAGAGAGAGGCAGAGACACAGGCAGAGGGAGAAGCAGGCTACATGCAGGGAGCCCGATTTGGGACTCGATCCTGGGTCTCCAGGATCAGGCTCTGGGCCAAAGGCAGACACTAAACTGCTGAGCCACCCAGGGATTCCCAGCTATCAGCCTTTTGTGTGTTGCATCTGTAGATGATCAAACTGACTTCTCTTTCAAGTCCTGAAATATGAAACCACGTTGTGCACTTTTTGGAAAATCCTCTTGTGAGTGTTCTAGAATTCTAGAAGTACTGATTTGGTCTTTCAGTTCTCATCTGGACCTAGGAAGCCTGTTTAATGTCTACCTCTAGTCTCTGCTAAATTCACTGTGAGTAAATAAGTAGTGGTCAATTAATATCTATGAAATAAAATTTATGGAGTTAAATTCACTTTTAAAAAATGATGGAGTCTTTATTTTTTTATTTTTATTTTTATTTTTATTTTTAATTTTTATTTATTTATGATAGTCACAGAAAGAGAGAGAGAGAGAGAGGCAGAGACACAGGCAGAGGGAGAAGCAGGCTCCATGTACCAGGAGCCTGACATGGGATTCGATCCTGGGTCTCCAGGATTGCACCCTGGGCCAAAGGCAGGCGCCAAACTGCTGCGCCACCCAGGGATCATGATGAAGTCTTTAAAAAAATCACAGTGTATGAAATGACTCTATGGTCAAGTGTTACTTGCTCTGTGGCCCTCCTCCAGAGTTTGAACATTTGGAATGTAGGGAGGTTTCAGGGCCTTAGAGTTTTAGTGTCATTTGTTCAATTTTACTTAAAGATCCTGACTTAGGGGATTCTTATATGTCCCATGGGCTGTGACTTCCCTATTGGACACTGCTACCTGGTTAATTGTCATCTCCTTGCAGCCCTCATCACAACCTGGGACCCCTCCTCCTCTAGTGCTCCCAGGCCTTTGCTCATATGACCCCTTTTCCCTTATGAAACCCCCTTTCCCACTTTGCTCCTCAAGTCTGTCTATATACCTTAACTAGTCTTCAAGGCCCAGCTCAAATTCTGACTTCTCCAAGAAGCCTCCTTTCTAATTTGTCACCACTGTCTCTTCAATGTTGACAATAATGGTACCAATGACTATCAATGATTGAAAAGTAACTGTGTGCCAGGCACAATAGGAGACTCCTGCAGCATCTCATTCAGTCCTCATGATAACTTTGGGGCTGGGAAGTACAGAATGCTCGGAGAGTCAGAGTGCACTGGCCATGTTATACTCTAAGTGACGGGGTTGGAACTCCTGTCCTGGTTTGTCTGGCCTTGACAGCCATGCTTTTAACCCCTTCCAATCTGCCCTCCTGAAAGGTGCTGATTATCTAATTGTGAGAAGCTGATGAAGCTAGGTGGGGCCTCAAAGGTCATATTATCTAATCCTCATTTATAGATGAGGATCTTAAAGCCCAAAGAGGCAAAGAGACAACAGGTAACACAGTGCGGTGTTAGCAGCCTCGGGGTAAGTACCAGTTTTCCTGGTTCTCAGACTCAGTCATCACTCATTCATTCAACAAAAGTATATTAAAGCCTTCTATGTTTAAGGCACTATGTTGGGTCCTGAGCATCATTCCTGCTGTACCGTTTGTGAGTTTAATGAATCTACACAAAAAGCTGTCTTTTTTTTTTTAATAATTTTTATTTATTTATGATAGTTACACACAGAGAGAGAGAGAGAGAGGCAGAGACATAGGCAGAGGGAGAAGCAGGCTCCATGCACCAGGAGCCCGACGTGGGACTCGATCCCAGGTCTCCAGGATCGCACCCTGGGCCAAAGGCAGGCGCCAAACCGCTGCGCCACCCAGGGATCCCACAAAAAGCTGTCTTAAAACAGGATCAGAGTGCTCGCTTTGGCAGCATAAAATACTAAAATTGGAACCATACAGAGATTAGCATGGCCCCTGCACAAGGATGACTCGCAAATTCATAAAGTGTTTCATGTTTAAAAAACAAAATAGGGGATCCCTGGGTGGCTCAGCGGTTTAGCGCCTGCCTTTGGCCCAGGGTGCGATCCTGGAGTCCTGGGATCGAGTCCCGCATCGGGCTCCCGGCATGGAGCCTGTTTCTCCCTCCTCCTGTGTCTCTGCCTCTCTCTCTCTCTCTCTCTCTCTCTCTCTCTGTCTATCATAAATAAATAAATCTTTAAACAAACAAACAAAACAAAACAAAACAAAACAAAATGGGATCAGAAAGAGCAAGCCCTTGCCTCCTCCTAGTATGGCTTTGTGCAGAAGTGCCACACACCACTGCCAGCTTCAACATTGGTACCATTGTCGTTGGTCTGACCCACTCTCAGCAGCAGCAGTGTGTTAGAGACTGGAGGGCAGGGTGTTTGCAGGGTCATGTGCAGAGTGCAGAAAAGCACTGCTTATGAGGATAATTCTTTTTTAAAAAAGATTTTATTTATTTATTCATGAGAGACACACAGAGAGAGGCAGAAACATAGGCAGAGAGAGAAGCAGGCTCCATGCAGGGAGCCCGATGCGGGACTCCATCCTGGGACTCCAGGATCATGCCCTGGGCTGAAGGCAGACACTCAACTCAACTGCTGAGCCACCCAGGGATCCCATGAATATAATTCAGTATTGTTCAAGTAGCTGTTTTAAGGACAAGCATTAGAAAACAGGAAGCATAACTCCAAGTTTTGCCAACAAAGTCTAATCCAATTCCAAAAGACTTTAACTTTATCCCTCTTTTGCTCTTGTGTGTGTGCGTGTGTGTGTGTGTGTGTGTGTATAGAAGTCACCAAGCTTGTCTTAGCTGTCTCCCCTCCTGACATTACTACCTGACTGTATTATTGTCTTTTATTTCATGGTCAGGTATTGTCTAAGGATCCCTGGAAATGCCCAACAAACCCTCTCAAGTGAGCTGACAGGAGTTGGGGGCCACAGTGAGATCCTGTTTAGGAACTTGGAAGGAAAGGAAATGCCATTGTTCCTTGAGATTCAAACAGTAATGTCAGCACATACTAGATCAGAATAAAGATAGACACGCACACTGATGTAATGGAGAAAGAGGGCTACCGGGCCAGCAGTATTGGACTGCAACCTACCACATGCCACCCGAACAAGGCTGTCTGACCCAACTGCACACAAACAGGCCTTTTCCAAGTGTGTCTAGTACGGAAGCACAGGCACAGAAGCAGTAGCTGAGGGACAGGCTCCCTGTTGTTCATTCCATGCTTGGTGCAGCCTATGGTGGTTTAGAAAGGCCAGACTTCAGCCTGTAGGGGAGGGAGCCTGACCCTTGGACTAGAGCTCTTATGCCTCATGGTTGGGAAACCCAGTCTGCCCCAGGTAGAGCACCCTCTATTTCCAACACCCCTCCAACCCTACCCACCCTCCATGTAAACTTCCTGAGAGGGACAAGAAGGAGGCTATAATTACAAGCAATTATCCACTTGCCCTAAGGGGCCATCAGGATTCCTGCCATCCTGTCCTATAATCTAGTGTCTCTGTTACTAGAAGCCTCTGGTAATCCTTCCCATCCAGACTGTTCCTTGGGTACAGTTTGACACATCCGTAATGTAACTCAAGCTTCCCAGACTCCTCTCTTTTCTATCTACAACCAAAATTGGTGACCTCATGCACCAAAGGCTTTCAATAGTGCCTGGAGGTAGATGACTCCCAAGCTGGTTTTTCCCACCTTAGCTTCTTCCCGAACTTCAAAGTCAGAAGCCATTCAGTTGGCTACCTCATGCCTCATGCCTGTGCATCTCAATGTCCAAGACCAATTCCTGTCACGCCATCCCAAATTCACTTCTCCATTTTCACCTCGCTGTGCAAGTTAGAAACTCTGGAGCCATCCTTGACTCAGTTTCCCTTGCACCCTTTTAAGTCGCCTAGTGACTCCTGATGCTCAGCTCCATTGCTCTGCCTCGTAAACCACCACCTCTCACCACCAGCTGCATTCATCTAAGACGCCCCACTCCCACTTTTACCCCCTCTCAGCCTTTCCTCACATCAGCTTGAATAATCCTTCTAACAGGTCAGGTCACATCACACTCCATCCCCTAATGGTTTCTCATCTCAGACTAAAAATCTAGTCCTTTCTGGGCACAAAGCTCTACACCATCTTGTCCTTGCTTTCCTTTCTGACCGTATTTTCCACCAGATACCCCCAGATATCTGCTCTGCTCCAGATAATGAGGGCTCAGCATGCTACGTACTCCTACCTTAAAGCCTTTATGCTACTGTTCTGCTTGGAAACCTCTTCCCCCCAGGTATTCCTGTGGCTCAGTTCCTCACTTCATTCTGATTTCCCTACTGAAGCCTTCCCTGAAGGCTCCTATCAAAAGAGCCTACACCACCTTTTAGAATGTAATTCAGAGATAGCAGGGACTTGCTTTCGCTTGCTCTCTGCTGAATCACCAGCACCTACAACAGTGACAGGGACATTGCCACTTACTAATTTTTTTGGAAATATTTTATTTATTTATTCATGAGAGACACACAGAGAGCCAGAGTTAGACAGAGGGAGAAGCAGATTTCCTGTGGGGAGCATGATGTGGGACTCGATTCCAGGACCCAGGGATCATGCCCTGAGCTAAAGGCAGACGCTCAACCACTGAGCCATGCAGGTGCCCACTAAATATTTGGTTTTTGAAGATTTTATTCCCGCACCGGGTTTCCTGCATGGGGCCTGCTTCTCCCTCTGCCTGGTCTCTGCCTCTCTCTCGCTCTCTCTGAATGAATAAATAAATAAATCTTAAAAAAAAAAAAAAAAGAGGGATCCCTGGGTGGCGCAGCGGTTTGGCGCCTGCCTTTGGCCCAGGGCGTGATCCTGGAGACCCGGGATCGAGTCCCACGTCGGGCTCCCGGTGCATGGAGCCTGCTTCTCCCTCTGCCTGTGTCTCTGCCTCTCTCTCTCTCTCTGTATGACTATCGTAAATAAATAAATAAATAAATAAATAAATAAATAAATAAATAAATAAATAAATAAAATGAAATGAAATGAACCCTGGACTTCTGAGTAAAATAGGTGATATGATGTGATTTTTTTTTTTCACCATTTTGGTAATAAGTTCTTCAGTGTGAATTTCAGCTTTCAGATATTCTTATTTTAATTAATTAATATTTTATTTTATTTTTTAAAAAAGATTTTATTTTGAATAAGTAATCTCTACACCCAACATCGGGCTCGAACTTACAACTCTGAGATCAAGAGTTGCATGCTCCACCAAGCCAGCCAGGTGCCCCTAATTAATTTTTTTATTTTACTTACTTATTTATTTTTTTAGGTAGGCTCCGTGACCCACGTGGGGCTTGAATTCATGATTCCAAGAGCAAGAGTTGCACACTCTACCAACTGAGCCAGCCAGGTGCCCCTAATTGATATTTTAAAAATTGTTATAGGGATCCCTGGGTGGCGCAGTGGTTTGGCGCCTGCCTTTGGCCCAGGGCGCGATCCTGGAGACCCGGGATCGAATCCCACGTCAGGCTCCCGGTGCATGGAGCCTGCTTCTCCCTCTGCCTGTGTCTCTGCCTCTCTTTCTCTCTCTCTCTCTCGGTGACTATCATAAAATAAATAAAAATTAAAAAAAATTGTTATAAAAATGAAACAATAGTTTTCAAAAAGAATACAAGTATTTCAGGCTCCTAAGTGTTTAAGTCTGACTTTATTTTTAAAAACCACATTTAAAACTATTAAAAGCTTGTAATGTGGGGGGTCCCTGGGTGGCGCAGCGGTTTAGCACCTGCCTTTGGCCCAGGATGCGATCCTGGAGACCTGGGATCGAATCCCACGTCGGGCTCGCGGTTCATGGAGCCTGCTTCTCCCTCTGCCTGTGTCTCTGCCCCTCTCTCTCTGTGTGTGACTATCATAAATAAATAAAAATTAAAAAAAAAAGAAAAGGGCCCAGAGTCAGTAAACATGAATGAATGATTATCTGAGGGAATAAGTGAATAAAGGATAAAAGAAAAGAAAGAAAAAAAGGCAGATCTCTTGGGCAAATCTCCAACTGGATGATAATGTGTACTCCTGAGCTTGAGTGGAGAGTAACAGCAATACTAGGGAATGCATTAGGAGAGATATTCCAAGCCAACTGTTAACAGCCCAATAAAATTGTCCTATATTTTGTGGGGTTTTTCTTTTTTGGCCTATGATTCAATAAATTATTTTTTGTTGAGTAAATATCTATTATGTCATTGCTGCTGAATTCTTTAATGTGTAAAAAAAGTTCACTTCAGAATTACAGACGAATTCATTTGTTTTTTAAAGTTTTACCATTATAAATACCATGTGGAGCAAGCGTCTCTTCTCATTTCCAGTGGGAGACATTGTCCAATTGATTCTTACTTCATGATTTCCCTTCTAAGCACTAAGTTGGTGATAGGTATCATATTCATCTTTTTTTTTAAGATTTTATTTATTTATTAGAGAGAGAGAGAGAGAGAGGCAGAGACACAGGGAGAGGTAGAAGCAGGCTCCATGCACAGAACCCGACGTGGGACTCGATCCAGGGTCTCCAGGATCATGCCCTGGGCTGAAGGTGGCGCTAAACCACCGAGCTACCCAGGCTGCCCTCATATTCATCTTTGAATCCTCAGCTGCCACAGTAAACTACAACCATGAAGTAGTTGCTTACATTCTCCACCCCATTCCTTCTGCCATCATCTTAGCCTAGCTGCTCTTTATTGTGGTTGGAATATTATAACAGATTACTGAATTTTTTTTCTTGTACACTTGATGCCTGACTACTCCTGACAAAAAAAAAAAAAAAAAAAGAAAGAAAGAAAAAGAAATCATCTTACAAATATTGCTAACTTGATAATTCTACCTAAATCAATGCATCATTAGGCAGCTCAAAACTTTAGTCAAGGGGATGCTGGAAGTTTAAAATTTTGCTACTTAGTTTTCTGTTGTTAAAGCGAAATTTCTTAGTCTCATCCTAATATCTGGAACTTTATATTTTTTCAAAGATTTTATCTATGGAACATATAGGTGG